AAAAAAAAGAAACAAATAATAAAAACATTTACTAAAACGGTATTTGTTACACAGTAGTGCAACTTCCATCACCAAAACAATGAATTGAATCAAATAGCCCAAAGAGCTGCGTGCCTGAGAGTGACAAAACGGCTGTTCACTGTCTACAACGGAAATGAGCGATACAACGAAAATATATATTTTGAGAAAGGTTTTTGAATTTTACATTCACAAGTTTATTTCCGAATATTCGCAAATCGACCTCTCTATGAACAATTCGCGAACATCGCCAAAGCACAGTCACTCTAGTAGAGTGACTGTGGCAAAGTGAAACTTTTTTGTACTCAGTAAGAAACGTTGCAACAAGGAATGAATAATGTGATTATTATTCCCATGCTGGATTGTATATGGTTATTAATGAAGAATCTATATGCTCGGTAGCATGTCCACGGCGTGCCACTTCGTTTTGTTCAATTTTTGAGAGACATTTTGAATGTAAACATTCAGGGAGAGTTTCTCAGCAAGGATCCAGTATCGTTCAGGCTGTTTATTTAGATCATGATGACGGAACACCAAGGCAGCACCACAGTGGGCGTTATTTACCATGGCGGTTATATTTTTACTAATCTCTTCAATTTCGTTTACAACTGTGGATTTAAATTCTTTATTTAATCCATATCAAGATAAATGTTAACACTATGTTTTAAATCACACGAGCCAACACCATTTTCGCGTTGCTCTGACAATAACAATGGGTATTGTACATGTACTATAATTTGTATATACCATGTACCTAAGTTAAATGGATCTGAATGTATAATTTTCCTATTTGAAGGTTTCTGTAATAAATATAATAATTGTAACCCTGACTGGCATTCATATAAAACACGTAATCGGTATGTGAATAAATTTACATCAACACTACAATAAAAAAAATAACTATTTTATACTGCTAGTTTGGTTCAGTCGTGGGGATATAGCTCAGTGGTAGAGCATTCGACTGCAGATCGAGAGGTCCCTGGTTCGAACCCGGGTGTCCACTTGTATTTTGTTGTGGTTCATTGTTGTCGACTATAGTAATTACGTATCATCTTGTATCTCAAAATTCTGAAACGAAGTATGCAGCGTTCTCCAGTATTCAACATTGGGGGATATCTACACGATTCTATCACTGACGTCACGATTCAACAGATTTCACACCAATTTGATTTGTAGAGCGTATTGTATCGTATTTATCTTCATTATAGTCGAACTATGGTGTATCAAAACACAACGTTTATACATGTAGTTATATATCTATTGTGTATCCGTTATCTGAAACTCAATCTCTCGTCCGGATTCTTGTTCGTAGTTTTTCAGTTTGCTGAGCCAGATGTTAGATGCTGCCCTCAGCGATATTGGTTGAAAAGTTATTGCATCATCTCGTATTTGGGTATAATTCAGAACTGACGTAAGCTTACGCAGTACGTTGTTTTTTACGGCCACAAATGCTGACTTTAGTAACAACGCATTATCTCGTATCTCGATATTCTGAAACTAAGTATACAGCGTTCCTTAGTATTCAACATTGGGGTATATCTACACGATTGTATCACTGACGTCATGATTCAACAGGATTTCACACCTATTTAATATTT